CGATTTATACACAAGAGATAAACATTTCTGTTGATTCGATTGACAGGTTGTTTTATTTTCTGTCAACAAAATGAATATTCATGTATAAGCCCATCAATTATCAAGCCGATTTAAGCTAAAGAAACGCGTTTTTTTTACACACGAAAACCCCGATTTATCATTTAAAATATTAAAGCATGTAATATTGAGCAATACAAAATGATTGCCAGCCGAGGCGAGAACTCAATGCTAACCTGACTTGTATTTTAACTGTGTATAAGTGAGTGGGTGTGCAAGTGTGTAAGTGTGTATATACTTCTGTAAACAGCCATCAAGTGTAGCTTCAGACAATACAAATTTTGACAGCGAATTAAAATCAAGAACAATGAAAATGGCAATGAAAACGTTGTGATGAAACATCAACAAGCTGGCTGTGCCGGCAGAGGAGTCGTGGAAAAGGACTGTTCTCCTGTGGATGCCGTGTATCATTTCAGTGTGTCTGCATTTCATTCAAATGCAAATAGCATTGTGTATTGCTTGCTTGCGACATAAGCCCTCTTTTCACAGTTGCAGAACTCTAGCGAATATTTAAGAAAATTATTTCACAACAATTTAAATGTTCGACAATGAAATGCTACAATAAGAATTTATCTGCTTCAAGTGGGTTTTTACTTTAAAATAAGTGGCATTTTCCTTTATATTGCTAGTTACACATATTTCTCTGAATATGTTTGTGCATTTTCATTAATTTATTTAGTGTTCCATTTTCATGTACGAATTGCGAGCATCATGGGGATGGCAGCTGTAGTCCTGGAAACGCAATACATACAATTTTGTAACATTCTAATCAAATACGAGCTTAAATTAAACAAACAGTGCGCTTCGAGTTTGCACTGTTTTAAACATTGTCATTTAGCTCTAATTGCGATGTAAAACACATACTATTAATTTAAATGGGCCCTTTGGTTTGTCTGGCACTCGAATGCTGTTTACAAACCAAATGAAAGAACGATATTATTATTGTTGTTACAATGATGATAATTAAATTGAATACTTCACGCAAAAAGGGTCCTTTATTTGTTTACCGGAATGATTTTTAACCTTTTTCGAAAGGCCTAAAGGGTATCTGTCATTATTTTTGTTTTCACTCCTTTTGAATGTTAAACTCAATGAATTACTTCATACAATGAGTAAATCTGGCTTATTTAGTACACACGATTTCCATGGCAATCGAGTATCTTCAACATTCAACATTCAACACTCTAAATTGTATTTTCACACAGCATTTGACAAACCTGGCTGATTGATGTTTTCCTTTTAGCCACAGAAATGCCGTCTTGGGTTTATTGCTGACAAATGAGGACGGACTCCTTACGAAATGCTGATTAAACGCTAATGCTAATGCTGCGGCGACTGAAGCCTAATTAGTCCGGCTTTTGAATTATGTAAATGACTGCCAATTATTCTCTCATTTGTGGCTGTGTCTCATGAATTTTTCTGCCAATGCATCAACATTTCAATTGAGCTTCTCTTTCGCCCGAGACTTATCAGATGGCAATTTCTGTAGGCTGTTTTAGTTTGCGCTTATTATTAATTATTATATAATAACAGGCTTTAATGCCACTCTCCGTCCGTTAAATGTTAGCAATTTTAATCTGCCTAATAGCATTTAACAGCCAAGCTTGCAATCAAGTATTTAATGTGCCTTTATTATTCATATGCCGATATATAGCACAGGTTTTTTTCTCACTTAAAATTGTTTTTTTGCCAGTCACATTATAAATTTTAAGCGAATATCCTGGCATAAAATGTGACCTGTGTGCGTCTTGTTTTCAGAACAAACACATAATAAATATTTATGAATTACTGCAAATTCTCCAAAAATACTTATGCAAATTAATATTTACAAAACAGCTTATGAAATTAACAAACAATACTAGCCTTCGAAATACCCTGTTTCGCGTCGAGCCGCTGCTCTGTAAATCTACTACAAATTTGTTAAAACACAACCTAATTTATAGTAAATTTACATATCTTATCGGCTTGTAATGTAAAAATGCACAGTGAGCAGGAGCTATTGCTAAATAATAACTTAAATTTAAATCAATAATTTTCCAGAGCAAACACATAAGACATATTTATGAATTACGGAAAATACTCGAAAAACACTTACGCAAATGAATGTTTACAAACAGGCTTACGAAATTAAAAAGCGCTCGACTAAGCTTATACTTATCTTATTAATATGCAATGTAAATTTATTTATATTTATCATTTATATTTATAATTGCACTCTGCCTCAATATTTAATACCCATTCACAGCGCAATCTGAATTCATTTCGAACCTTAATCTATTCTTGCTGTATTTTGTTTTAATCAGTCTCATTTTATTTGCTAATTTTCCTATTGAGTGCCTGGCATGTATGTCATTACTTAAACACCGCTTTATTAGCATGTGCTCAAACATGCAGGCTCGTAAATCTACAAGCTCGTAAACGTTTGAGTACTATAAACTTCAAGTCGATTTTCCTAATGCCGCAGGCCACCCGCTGCGTAAACACTGTGCAATAAAGCAAGTGACAAACAGCCATTGTGAATATATGCATATTGCCGGGGCCAAGCCGTTAAGTGAAGGGTAGAGGATATTTGCCGCTCGGCAATGCCTTCAAATACATATAACTGAGCTCAGTTGTCATATGCAATAAATCAAGAAGTAGGCAGCCAAAGTTCTGGCAGCCCTTGGGAGCAACCAAAGCGTGGCTGGTTTGCCTTAAATTTGTCAACATTGTAATACGTGAGCAAATTTAAAGAGGCTCTTCATAAATTGTCTGACATTATGTACATGATTGGCCAAAATAATTTAACCGTACATGATATGATGCCAAGTTCTATCCACTTGTGTAAGTGCTTCTGCCTGATGGGCTGCTAGTTTTGCAAAAATAGTTTGCTTTATCTCGAAATGTGGACAATGCCTGCACCACAAACTACAAGCCAAACATTATTCTCATCTTTTTTTTTTTTTCTTCAAACTTTACTCAAGGACAATGGCAGTTGGCAGCTGTCTGGGAATGTGGGTGTGTGTGTGTGTGTGTGTGAGTCAGTATGTGGGGATATACTTAAATTCACTTGTATAGTAATTGGATTTTCACTTATGCGGCCGCTGATATCTCGGCTGGCAGAGTAAAATATTGTGAGCACTAATGGAAAACTCATTACACCCACGAAAGTGGCTGTCATTACAGCAATTAGACAACATTTCTACACTTAACTTAAGTGTGCATTACTTCTATAGCAGAAGCCATAACTGTGCTTAGTATCAATTATTAAATGTGCAGTCTGTGAGAACCTAATAATGCAATTACTAAGCGCCTTGGCAGCCAGCCAGGCAGACTTTAAAATGTTACTGGACCTAAGTTGCTGCAAAAAATGGAAATTGGAATAGAAATCTAGGGAAAAGGTAGTCTGTATGCATAAGGTCGATTACATTTCAAATTCATATCACATACGAATCGCGCAATGAAATTTACATGCAAATTTATTGCACGCATCAAAAATTTGTTGTAGAGCTATGCATAAATATCAGCCTTGCGGATAATACAATTTCTCACTTTAATTGGATATTGACAGAAAAAACACACCACTGCTATCAGTGAAATATATGTAGATATTTTGCCAAATATTTAATAATAATAAAAATGTAAGAGCAAACAAAAACATGGCTCTAATTATCGACCAGAAAATGTTGCTAAAGCCCAGGAAAGTATGTTAAAAGTAAAAATGAACAGAAATATTAATAGTAATAAATATATTAATTAAATAAGAATAAAAAAAACTCAAACTCAACTACCTCTTATAATCTCAATGAATTTACATTGAATGGTAAATTAAAAATTGAAAATTCTTGTTTTTGTAAAAAAAAAACTGGTTGTCAGAAAGTTAAATAAAATGCATATTTTGTGCTTGTTAAAAATAACAAAAGCGTTGTTTTTCCACATTCCACATGTCGTTTTTTTCATGAAATAAATAAGCTCGTGCAATTTTGCAATTTTAATTTAATTTAACTCATGTCCATTTTTTCCATATGTAACAAAAGTATAACGAACATATTTGTTTTTGCACTTCAAAATCCATTAAGTGCCAATTTTTGATGGGATTGCCAGATCCTGGACGATGGCTGATAACTTAGCTCTTTGTTCAGATTATATGACAGCTGTATTGATATTTACACACAAATTTCGATTTTTACTAGCTAATAAGATGTTGGCTAAGTGGCTAATGTGACTGTTGTTGGATTTCCCAGTGTTTAAGTGCCTCGTTGGAAACACTGTGCAAACAATGTTTTTGCTACAGCAAATATAGTTGATTCTTTATCTCACTCTGCACAGCTGTGGCATGCACATGTGATATGTACACCCACATCTTCTCCTCTTATACACCCTCCACTCACATTCTGTTCTCTTTGTAATTAAACCCTGTAGGTGTTAAGGTTCCTAATAATAGATAGAGAGAGATCTAAAATAGTGATTAAATTTAATTTAATGACTGTGCTTGTCAACGCGTTAATCAAGCGTTTCCACGGGCTGGTAAACAGTAAATCCTTTGGATGGATGGACTCTATTTAATCTCAACCTTCACTGTAATTTGTCAAGCTGCGTTTCATTCACTTTTTTTTTACTCGATTTAATGTAATGTTTTTAATTAATTGCTGCAAATTGCTATGCCTTAAATTTTGTTAAATTTAATTCAATGCTGTACGGAAGTCGAGAAAAGTTAATTAAGTCTCTTAGGTTGCATTAACATTTTCATACTATGTGGTCTCTATAGCCGGTGGACTCTTTGGCACCTCGAGCTATTTGCGGGATTGTTAAGTCACTAAAGAAAAAATAAATATAACTTCATTTTAAACGCATAACTACATTTATTAAGTTAGGTCCTTAAATACTTTAGATAACTAGGACTTTTTACATTTCATTTAATACTTTAAAAGATTCTGGTAAATTTCAACAAAAGCAAGCCAAAATGGTTTCTTGAGGGACAAACTTTATTATTCAATATTCCTTTGTACACTTTTTGCAATCTATAAATTTCATTGATATAATATCCAAAAATATTGATACGAATTTCTTCGTAATCCCCTAAAATCATTGTCAGTCCCACTCCATTGCCTCTGCAAATGAATTTATGTATGTTGCCATTGTTAGTGAATAAAAAAAAAAAACTGTGAGTGAGTGAGTGCTGCGTAGAATTTTACTTTTGAAAGGGCATTTAAAAATATGTCTATTTCGAGTGTATCCAATACATTGTTGTGCAACTGTTAATGGCACATAGGAGACTGTCACTGGAGCGCATAGCAACCGCATCATTCCAGTGTGTCGGGGTCTAACGTAATAATTGGTAGGTTGCCACCCATCGAGGCATCCGCATTAAATGAGTTGGAGGTGGGCTTCTCTGAGATTTGACCGCAGTCGACATTGCCATTGACAGCTGAAAAGTGTAGAGCTCAATAACAGGCTCTTTGTCCTTTGATTTTGTACTTACCAGAGGCTGCAGCCTTGCAGCACTGTTGCATTTGCTCCTCCTCCTCGGTGATGGTTGAACAGTTGGTCGGTCTTTGTGACGTAATCAAAGGACTTGCTGCGAGCATTCGATGTGGTTGTCGCTTACCTTTACCGCTCGCATTTTCAGCTGCCAGCAACTGTCGCTTCGATTTGCTCAGCTTCGTGGGCGCTGTGTAGACGACCGTTGCCTTTGGTTGAATGTAATAGAGTTTGTCTGTGATGGTCGATTGTGTTAACTCTGAACAGGAACTCACCGATAGAGCCGGATGTTGTCGCTGCTCGGCACGCTCGAGGCGATAGGCCTGATACTGCGATATGACGCAGAGCAAACAGTAAAGCTTGAAATGAATACATTTGAAGCAAATTAGTTGGCGGAAATGAATGAAACGTGAATGGGAAGTGCACTCACATTCAAGCAGAGGATAAAGAAGTCTATGGTGAATATGAAACCGACTATTGGATCGAAAATCACACGACCCGAGAGTGACAGGTGGACAAGATGGGCAATTTCAATCAGTAAATCGCAGAGCATTAAACCTATCCAGGGCAATAGCAATTGACGTTTGTTCTGCAAGTTTGCAAAGCAAATGGTATATTTACTATGAATAGTATACTCTCCCAAAGTAAGGAAAGTGTACACCACTCACATTTCGAAGTCCCACAATCAACAGCACGGATGACAAAACCATCAGCGTTGAGCAAAACAAAAACAACACGTTGAATATCACAGTTACTGCAATAAGTAAATGTCAATCAACTGAGTTGAGTTTGGTGTGGCTTACTTTATGCCACGACGTCTCTATCACTCTCTCTCTCACCAATAGTTACATCACCCTTCTCCAATATGCTCTCACCCAGCGGCTGTTTTCGCTGGCCAAGCAGAAATGCCTGCTCCTCCTTCAGATAGACCGTAAACATAAGCGTGGACAATCCAAAGTAGATCTGTAAGATGAGAATCAGCAATGCAAATTAAAAGATTATATCAACAAGCGACCTTTTGGCGTATTTAAATAATTGTTGAGCTCACAGTCTTGTAATGAAAATAATGATCAGAATAAGAAGAAATATAATCAATTAAGTGTGGCAGCTTATGCAACTTTGAATGGCACGGATGAGTACTTTCATTCGAATCAATATTTCAATTAAGTAAACCAACAATTGTCTTAAACTCAAATTTAAGCTTGGCATTTGAAGGTTTATTTCGGCTGAATGGAAGAAGAAGACTGAAGTGTTCCACTTTTAATTGGTTTGTTGGCACTTCTAATTTACAATACCCTTGTTTTATTCTTTATTCATTTTTGTTGTTCTTTTTTTTACTTGTTATGCGCTTGAGTGGATTTTTTACTTTCGCAATTATTATTTATGGTAATTAAAGTTCCTTGGAAATGCATTTGTATCGCAAAAATCAATCGCAAAAATCCCTACTTTGTTATTCTGTTGCAAGTCTCGCTTAACTGCACGTGTTGCGTATTTTCTTGATAAACTGCTCCTTTCAGTTGCCCAGCTCGATTTATACGATGATTCGCGCTGTTTTCTTCATATTTTTTATTGTCTTTTTTTGTTTTTTTTTTTTTTGTTAAGGTTCTCGCTTGGCTTCACTTAGCTTATCGCTTATCGCTGGATTGCATGCGCTGCTTTTGCTTTCGGCTTATGTGTTGTTATCGCGCTCTTATGATATTTCAGTATTCTTCTTGCTTTACTTAAGCGTTTTGTTTATCTTCTCTAAGTGTGGGACTGAAAAGTCAACTGTCTCTTAATTGATTACCCACCAGCGTATAAAATGCACAGGCATAGCTGCCTTTGCGCACGGTCTTCCAAAAGCAGCAGGACTCGAGTATGGCCATTCTTTTAGTTTTCTTCGTTTTATTGAGGGATGTTATTTCAGCAACTCCTTAGGCATTAACATGCTGCATCAGTATAAGCGAAAGCGTTAGAGGAAATTGTAGAAGTTTGTGTAACGGCAGCCGCCACTTTCACATTACTTTTTGTCCCTTTTAGTTTTTGTTTGTTTTTTTGTTTTTTTTTTTTTTTTGTGGTTTGTCTCAGAGTGCCGCCAGCAATTTATTTATTGTTTTATTTCTTGCTGAGTTTTTTTTTTCCTAGGATATTTTGTGAACCGTCATTTAGTGCTTATCTTTGGACACTGACACTTAATTTCATATACAACGCACGCAGATTTATGACGCTGATTTATGTCGAGTAATCGCCCGTATATATTTATGCGTGACTGAAACCGCTGAAAGCGCTGAAACCGTTAACTGCCGGAGCCGTTCAACCGTTGCCTTTGAAAGTCGCGCCAGAACTAATTCGAATTGTATTTGTGAACCCAGAATATGGTCAACATTTCGAACAACAGGCGGCATTTTATGAATGAATTTCGAAATGGCCTAAGACGCTCCTGCAACCAAGGTGGGTTGGGTGCTAACAACGCATGCGCAGACCAACAAACATATTCTTGGCCAAATAGCAACAGGCGGCTTTTGGCATTGGCAGTGAAGAGATTGATATGCAAAAGTCACACTATGGGTGGTCGCCTTCCATGCCGCGTATACGCAATATCTGCGCTTGGTCAATTGCTCGGCTGCAAGTGCCACCAACTGTGCGTTGATTTAATTAAATGATAAACCACAAACACAAAGTGTTCACTGTATCCATTTACTTGGCTTTAGGCCAGCAGAAAAAGAAGGAGAGATTGAGAAAGTGGCAGCAGGAAAACGATTTCACATTGTAAGGTTAATGACTCGTTGATTTTTTGATGTTGGCTCCAATTGTGACTAATGATTAATCAGTGGCGCCGATAAGACGCTGCTAATGACAGTGAGCATTGCACAGTGAGTCTTGCACAGTCAAAGATCAAGTAATCGAATAGTGAATAGTGAATCATATGTAATAGATATGTAGATATATAAGAGACTCTAATCTAATTTTCACATCTCATTGAATTGAATAAACTGATTTTCTAGAATTTCTAGTTCACTAAATACGAGTATCTCTCGCAATTTTTGCACTATTCCTATTCAGAACAGAAGTAATGACTTTTGCTAAAAATTAAATCACATAGTCCCACATTGCTAGAATTGCTGAATTCTTACAAGTCAATCGCCCAGAAAACTGATTAATCACATGAAGAATGAATCTTTCAAAACACAATAGGCCTTGTTGTCACTTTTAAACGTTATTGTTTAGCCAGAACCCTGTTCGCCAGACCGCCATGGAAGTTAATGAAAAGGCTGCCGTTGAGTGAGTATTGAATTACGAAAGTAATATAAATCAGAGCACTGAAACTATATTCAGCACAAAGTCGACAGACAAAACAAAAAGGGGCCATCACAATTGATAGGGGTCAGCAAACCAGTCACTATGCGACAGATGTGCCCTATTTTAGGAGCCCCTATGAACGAAGCAGCACTTCCTCTGTGGAAGAGACGAGATCAGCGCCCAAGCCTAAGTTATTCATTAGCGACAGCGAACCATTTGTTGACTTTGATGATGTTTTGCCGGAAATTGGCGAATTTGGATGCTTTCAGAAATTACTGTTTGCGCTAATGTTAGCATTTTGCTTTATTGCCGCCTTTGTGTATCTTAGCCAGATCTTTATGACGTTGCCGCCACAAAATTATTATTGTTTCGTCCATGGGCTCACGCTCATTCCGAGCGAGGAGGAACGCAAGAGTCTCTCCATACCCAAGGAGTCAGATGGCAGCTACAGTCGCTGCCAGATGTATGATGTCAACTATACGGCTGTTTTTAAGGCCGAAAATCGCAGCGAGCTCATAAACAGTTCACTGCCCAAAATACCCTGCCGGGAGGGTTATGTCTTTAGTCGCGATGAACCATTTCACACGGCATCGATGGAGTTTGGCTGGGTTTGCGATAACGATTACTATGCCACCTATGCCCAAGTGATCTTCTTTCTGGGATCCGTTATGGGCTGCTTGTTCTATGGACACTTTGCAGATCATTGCGGTCGTTTGGCCGCCCTGGTCAGTAGCTGTTCCTTGGCCCTGTTCGGCAGCTTATTCACAGCATTCAGCAACAGCTTTCTGACCTTTGCCATTACACGCTTTCTTGTGGGTGCCTCCTTCGATACTTGCTTCACAATGATCTATATACTGGGTAAGCGCGATTGCTCTGCTCCCTGCATGTCTCAATATTTATTCCACAGTTCTCGAGTATGTGGGTCCTACGTATCGCACATTTGTTGGCAACATGTCGCTGGCGGTGTTCTACTCACCCTGCACCATGCTGATACCGTGGATGGCCCTATACTTGGGCGATTGGCGAACCTTTGCCTTTGTGGGCGCCTTGCCCATTGGTATTGCTCTGTGTGCCTATTGTTTTCTGCCCGAGTCGGCGCGCTGGCTGGTCTCTGTGGGCAAGATCGATCAGGCAATTGTGTTACTTCAAAGTGTTGCACAGCGGAATAAGCGCATTGTGTCCAATGCGCTGTGGAAGAAATTTCGCGAGGGCTGCGAGCAGTTCTACAAGGAGGAGTTTGAGGGTCGCAGCTTTACGGTCTTTTCGATATTCAAGCGTATTCGCCTGGCCCGCTATATGCTGCTCATGATCTTCATTTGGATGAGCATTTCGCTGATATACGATGGACATGTTCGAGCCGCATCGGTACTCGATAAGGAGAATGTGTTCGTTGTCTTTACGATCGCGTGTGCCACAGAGGTGCCGGGAGATCTGCTGGTCATTCTGACACTGGATCGCTTTGGACGTCGCTGGTGTGCCTTTGCCTACACCACATTGAGTGGAATATTCAGTTTGCTGGCAGCCAATCTGAGCAACTCTCATTACATTTTAGCAGCTGCCCTCTCCGGACGCTTCTTTGCCAATGTCTGTTATAACATTGGCCTGCAGTGGGCGGCCGAGGTGCTGCCGACGGTGGTGCGGGCGCAGGGTGTGGCCTTCATACACACCATGGGTTTTGTGGCCATGCTACTGTCGCCGCCGGTCATCTATCTATCTCACCTATCCCTCTCGCTGATGCTGAACACGCTGGGCGGCCTGGGCATTATTGGTGGTATTCTGGCCCTGTTTCTGCCGGAGACCCTGCACCATGATCTGCCCCAAACGCTCAGCGAAGGCGATCACTTTGGCAAGGATCAACGCATCTGGCACTTTCCCTGCTGCGGACCGGGCGCAAAGAGTCAATCGCGAACCAAGCGACTGTGGCACGAAGGCTCCAGCCTCCGCACCATTTCACGGGACGAGTTCCGATCAAAGAAACTGCATCGCGTGGCAGTGGTTAAGACTCGTAACTTGGCCCGGTCGAGTTATGCAACCGCATTAATTGGTCAAGTGCATTCTGTGGCCAGCAATGGCACCGAAGTTTTGGAAAGGGTACAAAATTTAACAATAAGTGATAGATGGAGACGAACTAGCTAGTTGCTAATAATTTTGTTTATATATTATAATAATACAAATATTAACAACTAAATTGTCATTGAAGTCTTTTAAATAGTTCCATAGATAAAAATTCAAATTTTCAAGATAATACTTTATTTTTTCGTTGCTGTTGCTTTAGGCTTGGAAAAATAACCTTTGTAAACTACACCAGCCATTTATATCTGCTATATTACTTTAATTATAAAATCTACAAAAATAATTAGCAATTTTCACATTTTTGAAAATTCATGCATGAAAGAAAAAATATTAAAAAATTACTAAGAGTATTGAATCTGTTCCTAAAAATCTGCATATATTTGTATACAAGTAATATTTTTTACACTGTGTCGAATGCTTTTGTTCCACACACATTTTGAGTGCATTAGGAAGTCAAACATGATGTTGAATGTTAGTTTATAGTCAAATTTACGACGTGTTTCATCCCAATCAATGTCACCACGAATAATTCTAATTGTATTTGCAGCCAGCATTATTATTCTGCTCATCAACTATGGAATTTATATTTGGTTTTGGAAGGAAACTACACCGATTTTTATCAGTGATGAGAAGTATTTCAATACAACGCTAGCCAAGATATTAAAACCTCGATGGCCTGGCAGCTTTGGACATTCAGAGGTATTGAATTTTCTTATCGAAGAGCTGCAGGAATTGGGTTTTGCTGCGGTGCGCGATGAGTTGTTCGACCAGATCCCATTTACCAATGTTCTGGGTATTATAAATATGGAGGCGTCCGATTTCATATTGCTTTCTTGTCATTACGACTCGAAGTTCACAAAATCGAATGCATTTTATGTTGGTGCCACCGATGGAGCCGTTTCCTGTGCTATTCTTCTGAGTATTGCCAAATCTTTGAAAACTTTTCTGACCGGAGAGTTTTCAAAACGGAAAGATATTGGCTTGATGGTAGGTATTTATTCTTTATTTGTTTTTATTTCTTATGCATAAGAAGACTTACTTATTCTATTAGCTGACTTTCTTTGACGGACACGAGTCCTTTGAGGACGAGACGCAAGATACAAATTCATTGAATGGATCTCGACGGTTTGCACTCGAAGAAACCATACCACTGAAGAGTATTGTAAGTTGCAATGAATGTATTTCAACCTATGCTTATCCGATTTCGATCCATAGGAGTTGATTATCACTTTAAACCTAATTGGTGCACCCAATCATATCTATATGAGCCACTATGATAATACATATTTATTGCACAAGCTCATGGCTAATATTGAACAGCAGCTGAAAAAAGCAGGTCAGCTTACCGATTGCCATCAGTTGTTCCACAACCTCAAGGATCACGATAGCGATATTGAAGACGATCACTATCCGTTTCTCGAGGAGGGTTCGTAGTCGTATTGATGGAACTTGGACCACAATGTTAATCATAATTTTTAGGCGTGCCAGTGATGCATATAGTGCCCCATACTTATCCAGAAGTATGGCATACAGCTGCTGACAATCTGGACAATTTGCACTTCCCAACAATTCGTAATATGAACACGATTCTTACCCGTTTCGTTTATGACTACTTGATAAACCATGATCGTGACAGCTCCGAAATTGAATATTATTGAAGTTAACTGTGTTGTTAATGTTTTTTACTTATATAGCTTAAGGTTCGACTGAAATACAGTTTTCCAATACATCAACTTTAAACTTGATGTGTTTTCAAATAATTTATGGGCAGTAGAAGCACTGATTTAAGCTTTAAAACGTACAAAAACAAGCTTATGAGCAAGCTTGAGTTCCATTAAGCTTGTGAACCGGTACTCTCTTTGCAAGCTAGCGAAAGCTCTTCTTAGTTTGAAATGCGGACATGGAGAGCTTTTGCCTATGTACATAAATAACACATAAAAATATGTATATATATACAGCATTAAGTTTGCGCGCCATGAGAGGCCTCGTTGGCAACAACAGCAACAAGAACAACAAAAACCAGCCGCAAAGATCGTTAACAGCAAACAGCAACAACAACGGTAATTTGTATTTTTTTAACACACAAAGCGCCATTTCAGTTTCAGTGTGTCGTCTCACATCAGCGTGTCCGGACATTGATTTTGAAAATGTTGGGATCGTTGTCGTTGTTTGTGGTTTCTGTTTCAGTTTCGATCTGGCTGCTGGCAGCTGATTACGCACACGCACAACAAAAGGCCAACGTAAGTTTAGAAAGCCACTTGGAGTCACAGCACAAAAGAAAAAGGGAAAATTATTTATGGATTTTAGTTGCAGTTTACGCATTGGGCCGACGATGAGGTGCACTTCAACAGCAGCTTGAAGGCGATTCTAGTGCCACGCGTCGTTGGCAGCCCGGGGCATCAGCAGGTGCGCAATTACCTGGTCAACTCACTAAATGGCCTTGGCTTCCACACGGAAGTGGATGAGTTTAGGCAACGGGTGCCCGTCTTTGGTGAGCTGACGTTTGCCAATGTTGTGGGCTACATTAATCCTCAGGCGCAGAACTTTTTGGCACTCGCCTGCCACTACGACAGCAAGTATTTCCCAAATGATCCCGGATTTCTGGGTGCCACCGATTCTGCCGTGCCCTGCGCCATCCTCCTAAACACGGCCAAGACGCTGAGCAGCTATCTGCAGCAGCAGTTTCATAATCGCAGCGATCTCGGCTTGATGGTTGGTATAAACTGTAATACTAGTTGAATCAATATTTAACACTCCATATTCGATAGCTGATCTTCTTTGACGGCGAGGAAGCCTTCAAGGAGTGGACCAACAGTGACTCCGTTTATGGTTCACGTCACTTGGCCAACAAACTGGCGCGCACGCGCACTGGAACCCCAATGGCTGGTCAGGGAACAATGGCTCCACGTCACATTGATCGCATTGTAAGTTTGCCGATCTGACAGCTTGTCGGAATCTTAAGTTTAATTCCGTTTGTGGCTTTTAGGAGGTGCTCGTTTTGTTGGATTTGATTGGGGCACGCAATTTGAGATTTAATAGCTTCTATGAGAATACGGATGGACTGCATTCCAGCCTGGTGCAGATTGAGCAAATGTTGCGATCTGCTGGCCACCTAACGGGCAATAGTAAAATGTTTTTAAATAGTCCCGCTGGCGGATTTGTCGATGACGATCATCGTCCGTTTCTGGAAGAGAACGTGCCCATCTTGCATTTGATTGCGACTCCCTTTCCGGACACATGGCATACGCCCCGAGATAATGCTGAAAATCTGCATTGGCCATCAATACGAAACTTTAATCGCATCTTCCGCCACTTTGTCTACGAGTATCTGAAACGGCACAGTGCTCCAGTGGATTTGCGTTTCCATCGGAAATAGAGAGAATATATATATATATATAGGGAGGTCATGTGGCTTAAAATATTATCATTGTATTTATCATGTAAATTGTGTTTTGTTATTAAAAAAGTGTCCTAGTTGAAGTAGCAGTTTTCATGTTCAGCGACGCTTCCGACCGGCCTGACCCTTCTTGCCTGGCGCACGCTGACCCTGATGACCCTTGGGCTTCTTGCCCACCGCCTTGCGACTGCCCTTGCCCTTCTTTTTCGCTGGCTTGTTGCCGGCTTCAGCCTCACGTCTGTAAAATTATTGGATATCAATACAAATATTACAAAATGATTAAGAGAAGATTGAACTTACTCTAATCGCTCGTCTTGCTTTTGCAGCGATATCGCCTTGTCCACATTAAGTTTGGGCTTCTTGTTCAGCACGCTTTTGATCAGCTCCAAGTTGGCCTCCCTTTCCGGCTGTGCTGAAATATGCGATGCCTTGCGTTTGCCGCCGGGTATCAGCTCCTTTACGCCCAGACCACGCGCCTCCTTCTCTTTGGGCAGTTTATTTTGGAATTTACCCACCGATGCAGTCGATGCTTTCGCCACAGTAACAGCGGTGAGCAGTTGATTTGACGATGCGGCCTCAGGGCCCAGATATCCGCTGCGTGGCATCTCCACCTTTTTGGCGCGCACTATGTTTTTCATGCGTTGAATCTCGTTCTTGGCGACCTTTTCGTTGCGCAGATCCATCTTCTTCTGGAACATGTCTGTGTTAGGATCCGCATTCTGTGGCACCTCCAGCACCCATTCCTTGTCCTTCTCAGCCTCGGCGTGCTTGAAACCATACGTTGGGACCCATTTCTATGGAATTGTTTAGGATTAGTTATGTTCACGCTGTAACTTTTTTTGATTACTTACATCCAGGACATCATCGTAGGTTTTCTTGTCCTTCTTCTTCTTGGTGATGCCCTTCTCCTTGGCGAACTTCTCCCACTTCGTCATGGGACGGACACCAGGTGGCTTGCGAAGACGCGGCAAAACTGTTGTTGGCTCCGGCAACTTGGCCACAATACTTTCATCTACGCGTTCGGTGGGCAGTTCCCAGATGGCGTTGACCAGCAGCTGTGTGTTGTCACGCGTTAGCTCGGCCAGGTACTCTTCTTTGTTTTTACTACACATATTAAGGTATATATATATATTTTTTTAATTTCATTTTAAATACAACAAAAGCAAATTTTACTTACGCGATCTGCCGGTCCTCCAAATCGTTGGGATCTGTGATGAGGAGTGTGCCCACATCTATGCGGCATTCGAGGTGCTTTTCAACTGTAATTGGCTTATATTTATCCAACTCCTTTTGATGTTTCTCTAAAACGGCTTTAACGACATCCATTTTGTGTGAAATAATTGAAATAAACAGCGATTCAATTTCTTTAATATTTATACACGTGCTGTTTGGCTAGTGTTGGTTAACAGAAACAGGGCAGTAGAGTGTTGGTTTACTGAACGGAACTAAACAGTTATTGCCACTCAAAAACTTTAACATTTGCTCTAATGTAATTAACAGCGCGCCCTACATTGTTTTTGAATAAACAAAAGCCAATCATTGACCAGTGCTGCAAAGCGCTGGAACGTGCCGCGAAAATTTGAATATTTATGGCCTTAACAAATGTGTGTGTGGCATCGTTATGTGTGATTTCGTAAGTCGTAAAATCAAAATTGTCATTGATAAATGATAGTTATCGGTATACACAACAAATAGCGAGAGCAGTGCAGATGCAAATCCCATAATGTGCATCAGAGCCACGCCCCGGCAACGCACCACTGTGGGTAGTATTTCAGCCGCCCATTGCAAGCCAATTTTATGTCACAAATATACCAAAAGCCATCCATCGGCGACCTCTGATATCCAAACAGAACATGGGTGTAATACCAGCAGGCAATTCCACCAAACTGGCCACCGAAAGGGTTATAAAGATGTCAGGTCCAATGGAAATCATAGCCCGTACATGATCAGCGTCGTAATTATCCAAACGATGATCAAATTCAACGTTATGCGACACAATCGTCTCCTTTTGAACAGATCTACAAATGCATGATTCTTGGTAATACTCTGTTGCTTTCTGTATATTAATTCGAAACATATACATATATTAATTCGAAATAATATAATATAATCGTCTGGCACAGTTTTGCCATTCGTGTTGCCAACATTTATCACAATCTTTATCGTCTTATCTCTTTGACCCACGGATATCATCCATTTAAAATGAATTATTTTCACAACGATAATAGGTCTTTAACTCAAACAGACGTGACTGATTCCGAGTGTACAAAGTATAAGGAGTGCGTAATTATGATCGGTGTGGAGATAACCAAGGTCAATAATTGCCAATCATTGCACCAATATGCTATCCAGGCCAATAAGTAATCACCCAACGTAATGAAATTTGCATTCGCAAAGCTTAGAACAAAATAACGATATTGGGGACCCACATATTCGAGTATTTAAGCAAAACTTAACATAAGTTGTAAATATTTAATGAGTTGAATGCTCAATTAAGAATGGATCGCAGCAGCTATCATAAGCCAGGCCACCATAAATCTGGCTAGTGAAAACCAAAGGAAACTTGTGCAGAATGCACTCATAACACCACCAAGAAGGTCACAAAAACTGCTCAGTTGCTGTTTGCTTTGGACATATTTGATTCGAGCACACGGACATAATCTACATACATGGCACATCGATCGAAATCGTTGTCCCCCAACTTTTGTATGCCTAAACTAAATTGCTCCTCTTTTGGTAGTGTTTAATTCGTGTATTTTGCACCAAAATTCTTATTCAAAATATCTGTCCCATGTATATAAGCGACCATTTGAAGACAAAAGGTGTGAAATAGAATAATAGACGCTTTTGATTAAATCCAAATTCAACGATTAGGGACAACACCTAATCAAAAGTTAAACAATTGTCTCTATCCATTGTTTTCTTTTTTCAATCAGTCATAGACATATTTTATGGCGCGTAGTTTAAAAGTAATTTACATCGATAATTCGGTTACATGAAATGCCGAGAAAAATTTATCGACCAACCACTACGACTGCTTGTGAGCCAGTCTTAAGCGGTTCATTTACACTTCTATCATGATTCTAGTTACGCGAACATAACTATGGTTTGGTTCAGTGTTCGACAATTTGACGAAAATAACACATTCTGCGTCATTTAAATAACGAAATAAGTCGTTCATATTTTTGCGTTATCATACAATCTGTTAACATACTGTTTAAATATTGCTGCTTCCCGTCTCAGGCCAATCAACTGCAATTGTTTACAATAATTTTAGGAAATAACTGCTTCGTAAATGTAAGAACATTTACCACTGAAACGCGCTTTGTATTTAAACAACTTCCCACGTGCCATATGTGAAATGAAACGCAGCTGTATTTGCTTAATTTTTAACAGGGATCATGTGCATGTGTATTTTAAACAAAAGGTATTTAGGAAGTTATATTATTTGCTTATAATATATTTATTTTTAAGATATTTGCATAAGTTGACAATACAATTGTTAACAATGCTAAGCAAATAAGGAGCCCTTATGAACTAGTTCGTTTCAGTTAGCGAATGGCTCGTATAATCGAACCTGTAATGAACGATTCGATACATATATATAGAGGCAATGTTCTGTCGCTTGGACGTAGACGATTTCATTTGGATTTTAGCTCGCAACTTGTGCGGTGGACAACTTTTGGTTATAGAGTTGCATCAGTGTGTGTCTGTGTGATATACATCTACCTACAAATAAGCATTTATATATATATATATACTAATACTACACATATTAGTGCCCGCGATGAAATTCTTAATCTGTGCACTACTTGCGGCGTCCTACGTGGCGGCCGCTGATATTAAACTGGAGGAGGGCGTCATCGTTGGCACTGTGGATAACTTCAAACAAGTGATTGCCGAAAACGAATTTGTGCTTGTTGAATTTTGTGAGTACTGCTCTTTTTGCAAACATAATTAACATAAATCAAAAAATAAATACCGCGCCGGCCGCTTTGGGGTGATTCACGAAAAAAAAATTTCGCTAAGGCTACGTGGTCTTTTCTGAGCAAGGCAAAAGCATGATGCTCGGAACAAAATATGTCTGCGTGGCAGTTTACCCAACAATCGGATTGTTGTTGCCAGCCAGCCAAGATGCTTCCTGCGGCTAGGGTAGGCGGGAAGAGAGCCGAGTTTTTAGCAGCGAGAGAAAAAAATCATTTGTGCAATATTTTTTTTGTTTTTATATTTTATCGTTTATCGCATATCGATGAGTTTCTGTAGATATTGGCTTGCGCTCTGCCACTGCTTTTCTCCATCTCTCTCTCTTTTCTTTATTGACTCTCTTTTTTTGTGTGACCATCTCACTTGCACTTACTGTACCTGCACCTGTGCGCAAGCGAGCAGACAAATGTGTGAGTGAGTGTGTGGGCATTTGTTGCGCGTACGTTTTTAAATGTTAAAGTGCTAAGCAAAAGTGGCGCGTCATCAAAAACATCAGTGAAGATAATAAATACATCGGCACATTTACCAACACGGGTCAGTGCTGGTCTTAACAGCTAAAGCTGTCGCTCTGTCCCTGCCCTTATCTTTTTATAGTTTGAGTGCCGCACGGCGTCCTCATAGCGAGATAAGGCCACATAACAGTTTTTAAATGTGTCTCAATTTTATCAAAATATACGTATTTGTGCATCGCAATTGTCGTTGCGGGCGTGGCTTTATGTTGCTGACTTTACGACTTGCTCCCAGTTTCCTACATCCGCCTCATCCAATTCGTTTTAGAACAAAAAAAAAATACACAAAGAGGAATAAATTAAAAGTTGTCAAGCAACTGTTGCTTTGAAACTGGGTTAGCTAAACAACTTTTTGCCTTTGTACGAGAATTCTTCACATGCCCCTCTCTCTTTCTATCTTCCGCTTTCCGCTTTCTCTTCTTGTTTGCCCTTTTTTTTACACTGCCCGTCGCTTGATGCGCTCGCGCCTGCGCAGCAGAAGTTCATTCAACTCTTCTGGTACTTCTGTTCCTCTTCTCGTTGTTGTTGTTCTTTTGAATGCGTGTTTAACGGTGATATGCGTCAATATGGCGGACCTGGCATTTCTTTGTTTATGCCAGGCAACTATCTGCTGCTATTTACGCTACGTATCCAATTCGAATGTGGCAACGTCAGCAGCAGCTAATCACCGCTCCTACCTCGCACCACCTGGCGAATCTTATCTGTTTTCACGATTAGTGTCAATTTGACCACGAATCAAGGCCACGTCAGCTTGAGCCGGCGATAAGAATGCAAGATGTTGTCAACTCGTATTATGTCATCTCTAGCTATCTGTGTCACTCTCTCTCTATCTCCGATTCCATCTCTTTCGCTCTCTCTCTCTCTCTCTTGGTGTGTATGTATATATTTTTTATAGTTTGCGTTTCGCAGCTCTTTAAGAAAACAACACGTGGAATTTGCATATTGACGCCAACAGCTGCTGTTGCTGTGAATAATTTTCTTTATCGCCCGCTTCCATCGTTTGCAGTAATTACTTTTTAAGTTTTCACGTCCCGCTTAAAACATTAATTGCATGTAAAATTAGTTAATTTGGAATAATAATTTTACATGTAATTATGCATATTAATTTGCTGTCTTTTAACGCCTATCAGCGTTATACATTTTAATTATATTCACTTTTTAAATTAAACATTTAATATTCACATTTAGTAATCAGAGATTCACAGTCGATTTACTATAAAATAATTATTTTGATCGACAATCACATTTTCCGTTATGGCAAATAATTTTTCAGTTTGGTTTTTTTTTCAAAGATTTTTGATATAATGATTCTATTATAATATTTAAATTGCGATTTTCGTATTGTGATTCTAATTTATGAATATTGAAATACTTCTTAGTATATGTTCTAATTCTATCTTATAAAAGCAGCAAAGAACTCGCATCTTTGAGTATATTTTCAGCGTATTTTGTCAATTTCGAAATTTGATCCCAATGATTTGTGTCCGTTTCAGATGCACCATGGTGTGGTCACTGCAAGGCATTGGCGCCCGAGTATGCCAAGGCTGCCCAACAACTGGCGGAGAGCGAGTCCCCGATTAAGCTGGCCAAGGTCGATGCCACCGTTGAAGGCGATCTCGCCGAGCAGTATGCGGTCCGTGGCTATCCCACACTAAAGTTCTTCCGCAGCGGCGCGCCCGTGGAGTATAATGGTGGTCGTCAAGCCGCCGATATTGTTGCGTGGGTGACCAAGAAGACTGGACCACCAGCCAAGGATTTGACCAGCGTCGCTGAGGCCGAGCAGTTTGTGAAGGACAATGAAATCGCCATTATTGGCTTCTTCAAGGATGCCGAGTCGGAGGAGGCAAAGACCTTCACCAAGGCCGCCAACGCATTGGACTCGTTCATCTTTGGTATCAGCAGCAATGCCGATGTGATTGCCAAGTACGAAGCCAAGGACAATGGCGTCATTCTGTTCAAGCCTTTCGATGAGAAGAAATCGGTGTTCGAGGGTGAGCTGACCGAGGAGAACCTCAAGAAATTCGCACAGGTGCAATCGCTGCCATTGATTGTTGACTTCAATCATGAGTCGGCTGCCAAGATCTTTGGCGGTTCGATTAAGTCGCATCTGTTGTTCTTCGTATCCAAGGAGGCTGGCCACATTGAGACCTATGTGGATCCATTGAAGGAGATTGCCAAGAAGCACCGCGAAGAAATTCTGTTCGTCACCATCTCTTCGGATGAAGAGGATCACACTCGCATCTTTGAGTTCTTTGGCATGAACAAGGAGGAGGTGCCCACCATCCGTTTGATTAAGCTGGAGGAGGATATGGCCAAATACAAGCCCGAAACGAACGATCTGTCTGCCGAATCGATTGAGGCCTTCCTCAAGAAGTTCCTCGATGGCAAACTGAAGCAGCATCTGTTGTCGCAGGAAGTTCCCGAGGATTGGGACAAACAGCCCGTCAAGGTGCTCGTCTCAACCAATTTCGAGAGCGTTGCTCTGGACAAGAGCAAGTCTGTCCTGGTTGAGTTCTATGCACCATGGTGCGGACACTGCAAACAGCTGGCTCCCATCTACGAGCAGCTGGCCGAGAAGTACAAGGATAATGCCGACATTGTCATTGCCAAGATGGACTCCACTGCCAACGAGCTGGAGAACATTAAGATTTCATCGTTCCCAACCATCAAATACTTCCGCAAGGATGACAACAAGGTGATCGATTTCAATCTGGACAGGACTCTGGATGACTTTGTTAAGTTCCTCGATGCCAATGGTGAGGTTGCTGAGGCCGAGACAGCTGAGGAGAGCGATGAGGAGGAGGAAGCGGCGCCCAAGAAGGACGAGTTGTAAACCAACAACACCACGCACTCTATACAAGAAATCTAACAATACAACAACACACCAACCACCCACACACACACACACTTAAGCACACACACTTAAGCACACACACATACAGCAACAACAAATAGCAACAACAACAACGTACATTCTGTAGTTTATTCTTGGTTTCGGTCGTGGATTCATTCAATTGCAATGAGTTTTTGTCATTGTTTCCCCGTCCTTGACCGTTGCTCAACTTGATTCCCAAAATTGTTTGCCTAATAATAAATTACAAATACAATTTTGTTGCGTTTTGCAACAGAAAATTCCACGCAATTTCGCATAGGAAACGCGGTTCATTTGGCAGCGCCTTGGCCGCGTTCTAATGTTCTAATATTGCGTAGCTTAGAATTCAGTTTTATTGAAGGTGAGCAACCGAAAAAATTCAAAACGATAAATTTTTAACATGTAATCTTCTAAGTTTTCTATTTGGAATTTGTAGAAGCATTGAGAAAGAACTGATTAAGGACTTAACAAATAAAGTTGGTAACAACATTAAAAACAAATTGAGTGCTTTATTTATTTAATTTGACTTGCATTGGGCAATGCATACAAATTTAAATTATAATTGTTGACTATTATATTATTTAAACGGTATTTATTTCCATAGCTATGGTGTTTGGCTTATATTTGTTTTTTTTTTACAAACAACACGATTGCCAAATATTTTAAATGGGCGCCCCACCACAGTTGAAATTGCATATTTTGCCACCCCATTTGGCGATTATCAACACTGCTTGTAAGCTGAGAACTATATGCAATAGTTGGTATTCTGACGTTATCAATATACGGCCATACTGCACAAGGTTTTGAGGCCAAGTGTGACCGATTAAATGCATTTTCGTGTGTATTTTAGTAGTCAACATTCTGTTGCTACAACCCAAACAGTCTGAAAACCTACAAATTGCAATGTGCATCTAGTTTAAAAGAAAGCTAAACATGTGTAGCGTACAACAAATGCCCTGTGAATTCATAACTGGAGAGTGCGCATCAGCCACAATTGCCGTGTAGCGTGCATTGCGAGCGCGCCGCTTCCACATTACAGTTAACAATTTTTGCGGTATGTCTGTGTGTGTGTATATGTATATATGTATGTGTGTGTATGTATGCATATATGCATGTGTGTGTGGGGTCTGGTATGCTAACGGAACTTTCACTTCAAGCAATGCAAAATAAACTGTTTGTTGATTCGCGACCTTCTCGTTGCCACTTTGCAGCATGATGAACAATTGCATCAACGTCTCAGATGAAACCGTTTCTGTCGCGGTCAGCGTCAATAGCGACGCAACGCCAGCGCAGCCGGAATTCGTGCATCTGACTGAGACGCGCCGTTATATTTATAGAGTGATTGCCGCCGTCGACGATGAGAGCTTCAGCCGCCTTATTAATCGCCTGCTCAGACAGTTCGAGGGGTAGGTGTATAAACTGTATATTTATCAGTCAGCATATGCCGATATGCCGCCCTCTCAATGCTCTCAATTAATCTCTTGCTCTCTCCGTCTTTGCCATCCAGTGCCATACGGGAGGAGCTGGAAAGCACACAGAACTCGCCGCTATTGTGTCGCAAATTGGCACGCAGCATAATTGGCCTCACACACCTAATACATACGCTACTGGTACGCCGTGCGCCAGAGAGCAGCAGTTGTCCCTCGATCTGTGAGCGCTGGTGCTTCATTGTGGCCAACTACATTGCCTGCGAGTTGTGCGCCGCCCAGGATCGTGTCGAGAACGAGCAGTCTATCATCGAGCGAATCAGCAGTATGCTCAGCTTATATATTGAGCGCTCGGATGTGGGCTCTGCTGTCTACAAGAAGAACACACTGTGCACACTGATTGCGGTTCCAAAGCTGTTTGGCCAGGCGAACATCATTACCGTCTTCTACAGGTGAGGTATTAGATATGTGTGTTATTCGAGTGCAACACGGAAAACCATCAAAATTATATTTACTTGAGAGCTAAGTTGTCTCATATTCTGCATATTTATATATTGCTTATATATTATTAATTCTCACTTCTTCAGCCGGCTTTTCCCACAATGGAGCACAGCTTTCAGCGAGCTTAGTCAGGCAGAGCTCCCAGATAAAATATACATCGAATACATCATCATATTTTATTACTGGCAACGTTTGGAGCGCAATGGGGCGACCAAGCAGCGTATTTTCGAATTTGCGATCAAATTTATGCGACCACGATCCACGCTTCCTTACAATCCCGCCTACATCGAGCATTTGCCCAAGTATTCCGATGCCAGCACGGCGACTCGTTGCATTTTGGAATATCTAAGCGTTAAGCAGTGCTGCCGAGGATTACATTCTGCCAGCCGGCTGGACAATCGATCTCTGCAACCAAATGAACTAGTAAGTCATCAATCAATGGCAAATGAATCAAATGAATCCTTTGCCTAACTACTATGATGTTTGAGTAAAAGGTCTGATGTGGTCAAGCGGAGTACACTGGGATCTTCACCCACGCAGTTAGTCGCGTGTCAGGTAAAGGCGAATGAGTCTCTGCTGGCCACAAAATGACTAAAGAATTTAGCTGAGCAAAAACCATTAACCATTTTTAATTTACAAAATATCGCCAAGTAGAAATTGTTCTTAATACATTTGAATTGCACACAGATTGTTGACTCCGATGAGGAGGATGCCGCTTCTGAAACCAGTTTATTGTTGGTCAGCGTTTTGATTTCAACACAACAACAGCAGCAGCAATCGGTGCCACCGCCAGTGCCAGATCCGCCTGATTTTTTGAAGCGTCTCTGCTGCAATGCGCGTCGTCTGGAGCCAGAGAAACGTGCGGCGGCCTTGCATCGAGGCTTCGACAGCACGAGCGAAGTTGTGAATCTCTGTCAGTCGGACGAGGAAGAGGAAATGTTCTCGCTCGACTTTAGTGTGCCGGCCAATGTAGATAGCGATGTTGGAGCGGAAGGAGACGATGACTATGTGCCCACAACACGCATCTATCCCAGCAATTTGCGCACATATCAGCGTGTGACAAGTAGCGCCACAACCATAGCTTCCCCTGCCTCTGACGTAGCGATTTACACAATACCGCGCATTGTCAACAGCTACAGTTTTCGTCGGGATAGTCTGCATATTGTGTCAACAACTCAGGTCTTGCCATACCATGTCGATCAGTGCGTCCAAACGGCGGAGGAGGTGGAGGAGGAGGAGGAGCAGGAGGAGCAGCAGCAGCAGCAGCAGCAGCGGGAGCAGGAGCAGCAGCAGCAGATGCTTAGCTTTGATAACAATGATGCCATATCCAGTTGTATGCCTTACTCCGAAACGAGACCGTCTGACAGCACAACAGCCACCGAATTGATCTATGAAGACAGCTTCACAAGCAGACAAAGCAGCCAGGACAGTACACAAATTGAATTGAATGACAATCATCTACACTGCCATCAGCCATCTAGTCGTAATAGCCATAGTAGCGATGCGTCGCTGCAAAAGAAACAGGTCACATTTAGTGCACAACATTTGCCCGCCTCCAGCAGATCCCAGTCAAAGCAATGCATTACATCTATGAAGCCGTCAATTAAACGTTACAAAAATGCGAATAATACATCACCAAGCTCATCTATGGATTACATAGAATCCCTCAAATTGATGGGCCGCAAAGGTAAATTCATTGAATTATCTATATTTGCAAAAGTCACTTTCAATTTATACCTTTTGTGTGCTTTGCAGAACATTTGCTTGCCGGCCAGCGTATGTTTAGCAAACTGGAATCGAAGAATATCTGTGATAAAGGAACTATCAATTCGATGTCTTCCAGCGGCCGCCATGCGCGAAAAGCACCACTTAAGAAGCAGACATGCTCAACAATCACAATAGCCAGGCCCACACCCAAACTCACATTCACGACCATGTCCACGTCCCCGCGCACACCGATACCCACCATTCAGTGTACGCCGACGACCAGCAATGCCTCAAGTGGCACGCCGACACCGCAACTGAACCGAATTCAGGCGAGAGGACCACAACGTTCACTGCCCACACCGCCAGCATCCACGCACAGTTCGATTGACACATGTCTGCGTCATCCGAAATCGTCCGAGCACCTTCAGCACTCAGCTGACTTTCAGCAGGTGCAAGCTTTGGGCAGGAAATATAAATTCAGCCGTCGGAAGTTCACCGATAGCTCCCCGGAAAATGTGGAGTTCTACAATAGTCTTCTCAAATTACAGCGCAGCAAACTGCTGGCGAAGCGACAATCCAATGCTAAAGTGCCGCCTCCAAAGTCTGAACTGAAGCTCAAGAAGCAACTGATTGCGGCAAATATAAAGGTACGTGAGGATATCGAGAGGCTTGAGGGCGAAGTGGAGTTAATCAAGAGGCATGCGGTGCAGACACGAGCAGATATGATTGCAGCGATGTCAAAGGTTGTTGTAAGATTGAAGCGTTGTCACATTGAAGACTTTGCAATGCCGCGTAGCAGCGTGGAGGAAGACAGAAATGAGGTTAGTAGTAATGGTTAATCATTTTTGTTGCTTCCTTGAATGCTCATGCTCGTTTCTATGGCAGGTAACAACGCAACTTATCCGGCCCAAGAAGGCTAAGGTGACCAGAAGACGGCGTCACAAGCCATGGACGCGAAAAAAACACATGAATAAGGAGACACAGCTGGCTCTGGTGGCAACTTCAATGTCCGCATCTGCAACTGCAACAGCCATAAGTCCTGTACCTGCTGCCGAACTTGCTCCTATTCCTGTTCCTGCCACTGTTTCTGCTGCCGTTCCTGCCACTGTTTCTGCCACCGTTCCTGCCAAAGTTCCTGACCCTGTTCCTGACCTTATTCCTAACCCTGCTCCGGTCCCTGTACCTGCCCCAGAATCTGCAAGTGCTACTTCCCCGGCTGAGTTGGACTGCATTGCCGCCTACGTAACGTTGGCAAACAATGGCGAATGCTGCACCGATGATGATACCATGGCGGGACCGTGTAGCGTTGTAGCCGCACACGAGATCGTTGTGGCCTCCAGTAATGTACCTGTGTATTTGCTCAATGGCGAAAGTCGGGATGTGATGACGCCGGTACCGGCATCCTTCGCCAACGATGCGGTTGCAACCGAACCGTAACATTCGATTCATGAGATGGTGCGCGAGACACGTATGTGGAATCTAACTGGCCGTTGGCTGCTTTTAACTTTAGTCTATAATATATACGTATACACATATATCTCTATATATTTTTGTTGATATTTTAATGAAGCCTGTTTAAAATATTGAAAGGAATATTTCGTAATAATTAATTTTAAGAGTAATTTAATGAATTGTTGAACTTTATCATTAATTGACAACATCATTTTGCGTAGTATTTGCCGAATGGACAATGATCCAAAGCTTTAAGTTTATATGTTTTTCGTTTTTAAACTGTAATATATATGTATAGATAACATGTTGTTTTTAAATTTTTAATTTTGTCCCATAATTTTTGAAACCCGGATGTCCAATGCAATAAGTATCCTTAAGCATACTTAAAACATGAGATTAGTCACAATTGTTCTGGATTGATATTTTACTTATTTATGTTCATTACTTTCGAGTTAAATCAATAAATAGTGAATTATAGTTTTATTGCGGATTATGTGTCTTATTAGCTAATGTTTCATTTTAGCCGATTCGCGAATATTAAATTTGGGCACACGATCCTTTCGGGCCAATATCCGATTGGAATTATCCTCAATGTTGATGGTGCTAATAATTAGATTCACTCGTCGTTCGATGACGCCGATAAAGAGTTTTACATTGTGCACGGTAAGGAAGGTCCTAGAGCTGAGCACATTCAGAATGGGTGCATCATCGCAGGCCAGTAATCTGTGAATTGTTAACGGTTTTATTTTTGTTGATCCCCGGCGGAGTTTAAATAATTTACTTGAATATATCCTCGATGCCCTTGAGTAATTGCTGCAAGCGGACGCTCAGGTTTTGCTTCTTTTCGCTAGTCTCCTTGGCCAGTTGCTCAATGCGAGCCAGTTCATCATTTAAATAGTCCAAGGCTTCCGTTTTGAGTTTAAGTTCCTTCTCGGTTTGTTCCGATTTTTGACGCTCTGAGAGAGTTGCAATATTGTATATATATACATATGTATATCTATGCCAGCAAATTGGGCATTTGCCTTACCAATTTCATCGGTTAACTCCTGCGTGGTATCATTGAGCACCTCCACCTCGTGACTGAGCTCGTTAACGTAGTTGAAGAGTGCAAAGTTTTCATCTTCCTGGCGTTTGAATTGGGCCACCAAGCGTTCAGTGTCATCCTCGCCATATAACTGCTTAATCCTTTCAATGATCTCCTTGTATTCGAAGATCTGGCGTTCATAGTTCTCCTTCTGGATCTGCTTCTTGTCCAGCTCACGCTGCTCCAGCTCGGGATTGAGCCTCTTCTGGCCCTTAATGTCGAAGAACTTTTGCAACTTGGCGTCGTGCTCCAGGCGACGTTGCATTTCTCGCATTTCCTGTATATGCATAACCTTATCGTTCTCGTTGCGATCCTTGAGCACCGTTAGCTTCGTACACAACTCCTGGCGTTGATCAAAGGCCAATGTTGATTGATCAATTAAATCCATGATGAGCTTTTTGCCATCATTGAATTGTGTGACCATCGATTGCCACATGTCATTAAAGTTCGCCCTAAATCAAGCGCAAAGTTAAATTCAAAATCGACATAAAATCGTTGGGAAATCCATACACTTCTTCTAAGAAGAGAGTAGGAAGAAGAGAGTAATGAGTAATCGACTTAACTCACCGATCCTGAAGCATATGATTGATGGCATCTCGCATTTTGCCATTTTCTGTGAGAACATCGCTACACTTTTTGTTGACCACGTCGAGGCGATTCTCCAGTTTGACAACACTCTTCTGCACCTTGCAAATGGTATCCTTGTAGCAACTGTCGGGCACCTCGTTGCGACGCAGTGCATCGATTTCTTTCTCCATTTTCCGAATGTGTCCTTCGAGCTCCCACAAATTGGTGCGTTCACCTTGGAAAACCCGCTGCAATTCCGTCTGCGTTTGCTGCAAGTTGCCCAATCGCTTTTCTTTGTTGACATTTCGACGTGCATGTTGGCCTCCTTCCAGGGTCTTGATTTCGGCCTTTAGTTTTTCAAACTCTATCTGCAGCACATTAATCATGTGATTCTGCTTCTTCAGCCGCTTCGCTTTCTCCTCGAGCAGACCACGTAGGTCCAGCTGAAGGGAGCGATGCTGGCGCTGCAATCGCTGCAGCTCTGCGGTGGCTAATTGGTCCAGTTGGTCAGTCATGATGAGCAAAACTAAGCTAGCTAACTTGGCTTTTTATTTCGAAATAACAATATAATTGGTAGAGGGCCGTTACTAGGCTACTGTAAAAGTGCTGGTGTTGCCGGACTTATGAAAATGGTTGAAGTTCGTTGAAAATTTCAGGCCGTAGCAATCCCTTCATTTGCAAAAGTCGTTATTTGTAATTTATTTGAAATAATCTGCTTAATATTCAACAAATATATTCATAACTTGGGGTTAGTTCCTATGACAAATGTTTCATTCTGTGGTACCTTGGAAACTTGGAGAGTTTTGCGGGAAATGTCTGCTTGAGGGAAATTTAGCTAATGCAGCAACCTAACTTGCGCCATTGGTGCGTGCACATGCTATTTTAAACAGAAAGCTTTTGCTGATTTTAGTACACAAAATGTTTGCTTCTTTGTTACTAGATTTGTGGGTTCGTGTAAAACTTAAGGAATTGCTGATATTTATTGTGTTATTATAAACAATTTCTTGGCCACGAAACAGACGTCAGTTGAACTTCGGCCTGCAAGGACAGTTGAGGAGAGCTGTTCTCTGAATCTGAAATCCGTTTAATTGATTAATAACAGCATTTTGTATGGTAAAAGTTTATTATTTGTAACTTTATTTTTTAGTTTGTTCTTTGCCTTTTGTTTCATGTTTAAATGTCTATAAAGTATATATAATATATATTTTTCTGCATTTTTGTAATTTTACCTTTTGTTTTTTTTTGTTTTCTTAATTTTTTTTATTTAACTTGCCAGTTTTTCGGTCTGTTAGTTTTCATTTGTTTTATTCTTCACTTAATACATTTGCATAAGTTCTCATGTATAATAATTATTTATTAATAATAATTTAATTGTTATAATTATAACTTGGTTTACTTGTTCATTTATAATTTCTCTTTTGCCCATACTCGATTTTCTGCTCCTCATCTACCATATTATTCATATTTCATATGTCGCCCATAAACGACGCCCAGTTTGGCAAACGAAACAAAATTTACATGTTTGCCATTTGAAAACTGTCAAAATGTATCCTAAACGTTTCCTTGATATTTATTTTATATATTATGTTTTCTTTTATTTATATTATTGTTAGCTTTTGCCGCGCTCTTGGCCTAACAGCTTTATCTTGTCGTTCGTAGGCTGCTTAAAAAAAATAAAAAAAAACAACAATTTCAGAAAAAGGCGCAAATAATGTTTATATGTATGTAAGTAGTTCTTGCTCTGGCTCTAATCATTGTTATTGTTTTTGCTTGGTAGAATAGAGTACTTATAAATACATATGTAAGGTTTATTTATGTATGTTCTTGTATGGCAATAAATAATTTTTAAACTAGAGTTGGTAATGCATTTTTACGCCTGTTAAGTATTAAAATATTTGCATAGCTTGTTTGTTTTTATTTGTGTGTTTTCATAATTAATTAATAGTTTCTTTTGATAGCTTTAAATGTGTGACTTCAACGATTTTTCGCAACATTGAGCGAAAAATTAAGTTGAATATAAATATATATATATTATAAATATATATATATATATACATATACACATATATATATATAAATAGTATATATATATAGATATATTTGTAATGTTTTTTCGGTGTTTACTTTCATCCTTTTGTTTTCATGAACGAATGCACAAATTTTACACACTTCGCCATTGGGTTTGTTATTATTTATAAATTGTATTCAATTTACACATATGTATAGTATATATGTAGTATATATATATATGTATATATATAGTTAATATAAAGACCTTTTCTTTGCTTTTGCTATTTTAAATTATTTTTATTTAATTGTTCATTATGTCTGCTTGCCTTTTGGTTTTCTCTATGTACTCGTATGTATTTCCATTCTTTTCCAACTACATTGCCTATTAGTTTATTTTCTGCGCTTTATATGTATCCATGTAGTATGCATGTATGTACGTATGTATGTATAAATATAAATTAGTAATATAAGTATGTATGTATATGTATGTAGTTGTGTGCATGTTTAAGTTAGAATATCGACTGTTTAATGGATGTGTCTCAAAAATTGAAGTGACAAATATTTATTTTTGTGGGCTCTGATTGAATAAGTGCTGCAATTTGTGTACCTGTGCTGTGAAAATCTCGAATTCATTAATTTTTTAAATATCAAACTTAGGAAAATAGTATTCCAAAGTGTGCACAATCAATTACACTATTGAATTAGCCAAATTGAAAAAAAAAACAATTCATTTGTGATATAGAGCAAAGATATAAGATTGTGCTTGAAAATTGCTTACACAGACTCTTGCCAAACTCTTTAAAATGTTTAAAATTTGATATAAATGTTTTTGTTGGTATTATTTTCTTTACTACTCTTTTGTTTTTTTTTCCTTTTTTTTTTTTTAGTTTGTTTATGATCTATTTCATTCATTTATTTATTTTTTCTTTTGATTTTGAAACCATTTTACATTTAATATTTAATTTTTGTCATTTTAAATATTTGTTTCTTTTAGAATATTACTAGACAATGTTGAGAACTTATAAAACATTTGTGTTTGTTACAAGAGCAAGCTTTTTTTTAATGTTAGGCTGTAAATTTAAAACGGAATGAATATTGTTAAATTAAATTGGTTGACTTTACATTTTTTTTTGCTACAAATTCTTTGTGCAAGTTTTGGGCTTTCATTTCTTATTTTTATATGGCATTTTACTGCATTTATTAGTTAGTTTTAATTTAATGTTTTTTTTTTTTTTGCTGCTAATTTTCTTATTGTTTTCTTTTAAGGTGCTCTTCAAAAATTTCAAATTATATCTTATCTGCGGTTATTTAATATTAGTAAAGTGTAATTTGTTTGCGTGTTGAGTATGTTAGTTGGACATTATCCTATGCAAAGTGCAAATTATATTCAAAGCACAGTATTTCAAGGATCCACCTCAAAATTCTTATTTTGCTATGTGTAAGTTAGTTTTGTAGACCCGTTTGTAAAATTCAAGTAACTCAAATTGCTTACATTGTTTTTCTCTGTGTGTATGTGTGTGTGTGTGTTTGCTCATGTATGTGTGTGTTAATAGTGCATAATGCTAAATACGGACGGATTTCTAAACAGAAAGTAAAGAGTATTAGAATAAGCTGCTGTATTGGGATTTAATTATTAAACGCAACTGGAACTGCACTCAAAATATGGCAATTTTTTTTTGTATGTATGGGTGTTTTTTTTTGTGTGTATGCATATGCGTATGCTAAATCCTAGACTAGCAACTATCATTAAATAATTAATAATTTGTAATTATTAAACCCTCTTAGGTAAGTTGCATTGGGCTTTGTGTTTTTTTGTTTTACTTTTGTTTTTGTTTTTGTTGTTTACCTATATACAATATAAATTCGCTTTGACCTTTTGCTTATTACACTTAGCCTGCTCTCAACTGTGCATTTAGAATCTGCATCTGTATCTGTATCAGTGTCTAATATTTGGCTAAGTTCTAAAAGATAACATTTCTTATCTACAAAAAATAACTTGGGGCCTTTTCATTTTCATATCATTTCACTGCATTTTCATTTGTTGTATTCTCGCTTGTATAATTGCAAAATTGGTTTATAATGCTTGTTGACCTTAGCTCGCTAATAAATCTTTGCTTTGGTTTATAGTAATAATAATAATTGTCATAATAATATTTATATATATAATTCATCGCCTATATAAATATGACTAGATTTAATTTCTTTTCAATTTATAATTATATATATTGTTTTCTTTTTTGTTTAAAAACTTTTTCTTGGTTTGGTTTTCATTTATATTTATTCATATTTATTAAATGCACTTTCTGAGCTTTCTTACAAGCGCCGCCAATTATTGTTGCTGTTTGTTTTCTATCAACTTGTTTGGTTGTTCTCCAGTTCCTAAACACTAATATGTATATGTTATACTATATATGTATGTACCAGTGTATATATATTTAAATATATATATACTTTCTTACTACTGCACTCCTGTCCCAACTATGCCCATTTGTTGCTCTAAATAACTATATATCCATATATTTAAGCAAATTCTACATTTATGCAAAGCTTTAATGTTATCAAGCTAAAGAATTTCCAAATAAACGTACTTAGTGCAAAGGCTTAAGAAAAATATAACAGAAGATAATCATAATGTTTACTTTAAATTATTATTAGTTTCATTTTTGTTGTTGTTATGTTTTATAAGTAAAGATTATTATTACTTGTAATTGCATGTTTTACCCTGTATCCTATAAGTTATTCGTGTGTCTCGATTAAAACAAAACCCAAATGCTATCAAGGCAAAATGTTCTAGGCCTAGCAAAAAAGATATGCGTCCTCCCTTCAAATTGGGCCCGTTTAACTATGTATGTATGCGTGTGTGTGTGTATGTGTGTCTGTGTAAATGTATTGGATGTTGTTGTTGTTGTTGTATTGGTTGTCAGTGGTTCTTGTGTATAAAAAACTAGTGTATGAAATTTAGTAGTCCATGGTTATGGTGGGGTCATTTAAAGTGCCTTGCTCTATTTCTATCGTTTATCGTTTATCGTTTATCATTTATCATACTGTAGTTTTTTGTATAATTTTTAAATTGTTTTTTATTTAAATACCTGCAGAAAAGTGTATCTAAATATATTTTTGATTATTAAGTTCTAAACTTGGACTCATGTGTTTTTGGTTGTTGTTGCTGTTGTTGTTTGTTCTTGTTGTTTTGTTGTTGTATTAGTGTTGTAAGCTTCATTCACTACTTTGTCTAGCCTTGTCAATAACTAGCATAGAGTAATTTATTAATAAGTTAGTTAGTTGATTTTTAGTTATTTTCTATAAATAATAAACATTCTATAAGAATGCCCTCATAATAAAAATACTTTATGTATAGGACTAAATGTATGTTTCATTGCATAGCCACTATAAGTAAGTATTCATGTAAATCTTATGATTTAAGTTTAAGGAACGATCATCGATAAGAGACTTCATTTTCTTTTAGTAAATATACAATGCTTAATATTAGGGATAATTTTCATTTTAGTAAATTTGTTGTTTAAGTGGCAAAATTAACTTAAAGTAAGCGAATCAAATTAAATTATACGATATGCGAAATAATTTCGTCGAACTCAATATATATTATATTGGTTATAAAGTTACAAAGGATTATTCTGTATTCTTATCTTATCTCAAAGTTTCGCTACAGCTTCTGCTCTACGAGTAGAATCTCTTTCAGAATCGTCCAGAAGATTGCTAACTGAACTTTGAGTGTGAATCGGATCCTTCCCTTAAACCATTTTAAATAAAAATCATACATATTTAAAGTTCTACATTATACGCGTTGTTTTTTTTTTTTTTTTGGGTTTTTTTTTTTTTTTTTTGATATGATGTGCTTTGTATTTAAAGTTTATTTATGTATGTGAGAACGCGTTGAAGATTTTCGTTACAAAATCATTTGGAAAATTGAGCACTAAACTGTATTTTGGCAAAATTTGCAAATGCAAGTGCCAATTTGAAATCTTGTGGCTGCCGTCATTACATAACATTAAATTGGGCGAAACCGGGCGAATCTTTATATAGGTATTTGCCTAGCATTTCTTGGTTTCTGTACTAGTTCCAATTTTAATGCTCTATGCTCAAGGTACAATTGTTTTTTGTTTTTTCATTCTTTCATTTAGTTTTAATAATTTCAATTCGACATATGTTTTTTATTAACGTTTTTCATCACATTTTTCATTTCGAATTTAAAATAACCGCTTAATGCAAGCATAATTATTTAGTTTTTGCTTTTTATTGATTATTTAGTTATTTTTGTTATGTATCTTGTATGCATTAATTTTGATTTGGCTTCTTGGTTGCATGTTATCACCGCTTTTTAAAAAAATTAGATGTTATTTTATTAAGTTTTTTTTTTAAAGCAAAACACCAGCTGATTTATGAACACAAAAATAAGTAAGTTAAACAATTTATTTGATTTTTGTTACACAGTTATTTTCTTTAACGTTCAAGTCACAGCCTTTTTAATGTGTTTTTGTTTTGTTTTGTTTCTTTTGTTTTATAATGCGAAGAAATCATAATAAATTTAGATATAGAAAATGATATGGGTGTGTGTGCCAAATTCTCTGTCCGTAAATCTGTAGGTCCGTTCTGAGTTGCTCAAAGCTCTGCCAATTCACAAGCCACATCTTCACACATGAAAAATAATTAATAAAAATAAAACAAGTTTTTTTTTTTGTATTTTGTATTTATCAATTTGTTTATCGCTTTTATTTGTTCTGCTTCTTCTTGGTTTAGTTTATTGTGTTACGCATTAGAAATAATAATATGTATGATAATTTAAGTTTTTAGTATATTTGTTTATGTTTTCGTTTTCTTCCTTTTGTTTTTTTTTATTAATTTTTTGATATAGTATAATTTGCATAATTTTGCCAAAATCAGTTTTTTGCACTAAGTTCTTCTCTTTGTTTTTGTATTTTATTTAAATATTGTGTATATAGTCTAAAACTTTTTGTATAATAGCATAGAATAATAATAATAATAATAATAATAATTTGTTTTTATATATTTAGTTTAAGTACTTGTTCGTATTTGCAATACAAAAAATCAAAATGCAATCATAATAATTCATAATACATAATAATAATTTATTATTATCTCAATAGTTTGACTTTGTTTAAAGTTGGTTTTTGTTTTTATGCAATAATTAACTTGAATTTGACTAGATCGATTCATACAAGATCGTAAATACATATAGTGAGAGTGTGTGTGGGTGTTTGTATGTGTGTGTGTGTGTGTGTGTGTGTGTGTGTGTGTGTGTGTTGCTCTAGTAAAAATCTAGATTAGCATTTTGAAGCTGTCAAAAGTGTGGGGCAATGTAGTTATTCAACTTGTGTAACTACGGAATAGTCGCTAAAATCAATTGATAATTTTGCATATAAATTTATGTATGTATATAGTTATATGTAAGTATTTTTTGTGTATATAATGCATTTTTTGCTGCTGCATTCCTTGCGTTCTTTTCTTTATTCTTGCGTTTTTTTTTGCATTTTAGGGGGGACTTTCATCCGCCTTTCAGTTTCGTTTATATTTACAAGATATTAGGCTTAACATTCGATACAACGAATAAAGTGATTGGAAAGTAAATGACAATAATATTGACTGTAGAAGTTGTTGTACTTCAAACGAAGATAGTTAGTTGCCAAAATAAAACGAAATGCGTTCGAGAGTTATAGTTATAGGCTGGGCACCAAAAGCAACTACTGTAATTAGGGGTTGCTCAATTGAACTCCCTTGGCCAAAGTACTGGGCCTATATATCTCTGGCTAACTGGCAATGCTATTTAATTTTTGGGGAATAAGGTCGTAATAAGGAAGTAAGAAGACCAAAAAATTATTGCAATCTATTGATACGTGTTTGGAACTCATAAGTAATTCAAGTATTTGCACAAAAGTATATATTGCACTGGTAACAAAACTAACTTTAACTTTTATAACAATTTGTTATGCTTAAATATTCTTATATATTTCAATATATATATATTTATTATTTAATAATTAATTGTTTTTATCATTAGTATCAAATATGTGTCGCAAGTTGTGTTGCAAACACACAGACTAGGCGCTAAACGTAGTTTTTTTTCACTATACAAACTCTAAATAATTGTTACACTTTAGGTTTTTCTTTCATTTCTTTCTCCATCGTTCCCTTATGTTCATTTTTGGCATATTTAGCTGTAGATTTGACAATCTTTCACTTTATTTTGTACAGATAAATATATATATATATAAATATATATATATATATTCATTCTTCTGCTAACTTTTAAAGACAATGTCAAATTGTTTAATGAGTTGATTCAACAGATTTTAGTTGAGTAATGTTGGATTTTTTGTTTGTTTTATTTATAAGTTAAATATGCTTGCATATGTGTGTATATGTTGTGTGTGTGTGTGTTAAATAAAAGGCAAAAAATTATGAAATATAAAAATTTCAGTGTTTCATTTTCTAGTTTCGCTAAAAATCGTTTGCCTTTATATAAAAAAATGCTAAATTTAGTTTATATATATATATATATATATATGTATGTAATTGTATGTATGTATTTATCATCAATAATAATTTATGCATTTTAAAGTTATCTGTTAATTGTCGTTATAATATGTGTAAATTTTGTAGTTGGTTTTCTTGTGTTTTAGCTTAATAGGGCTAGGGCGCGCTATGGTCAACATCATTCTTCTTTAATAAGAATATTAAGTTTTAGTTCTGTCGTTTCGGGGTGTCTGGGAACTTGTGAAAATAAGTCGCCAAAATGTTCAGTTGTCAGCCACATACACACATATATATATATATATACATACATATACATATGCATATATATGTATATATATACATAAATGTTGATATATATATTTTCTTAGCAAAATTTTCTTTCGTACCTTTTATACCTTTGCTCGTATATATACATATCTATATATATATATATGTCTATATGTATACATATATATATATATATATATAAATGTACATATATATACATATTTATTTCAATTTTATTTTTGTTTCATATATATATATATATGTATATATTTGTAAGTACCTGTATTTGTTTTGGTTGCAAGCAGCTAAGTTTAAGTGTAAAGTTTGTTGTTTGATTTTTTTTTGTAATATATTTTAATTCTATAAAATCGTTTACGATTTTTGTTGTCTAGTTTTAAACAAAGGGTAAAACGTGCTTTTGCCTAACTGAAGGTGTTTCGTTTGAAAATGAAAATTATTATTTGCCCGCATGCATATTTTTTGGAGGCAACAAAATTTACAGCATTTAATATGCTCATCATTTTTTGTATTTTCTTTTACTATGTATGCTCTAACAAATTCATTATAATATAATTAAATTATTATTATTTTTTTGTTCATTTACATATTATAAAAAATGATATTTTTTTGCTTGTTTGTTGCAGGCTACTCAAAAACCTTGTGTGGTTCTCTAATTTGGACTTAAGTGTACTTCTCAAAGCATATCGCATATTTATTTGCTTGCTGCTTTCACCTAGTGCTAACTGTTCATTTATCTCCTTAAAATTAATTAAATTCGAATTTTTGTGTTAATTTTTATTCATATACATATGTATATGCATATACATATGCTACGTATGTATATATAAGTTTATGTATAATATAATCCTTTGCCATTTTGCTTAGTACTAAATGCTAAAAAGTTGCAGAGCTATGTACCATCATCGTACTATGCTCGATCATTAACTTCTCATCTAACTGCCAACTCATATGCATATGTTTTTTTTTGTCATCTCCAATTAACAGATTCAGTTTTGATAGTTTTTCTCTTATGGTGTGTGTGTGTGTTTTTTTTTTTAATTTTTTTTTTTTTTAATTTTTTGTGGCTTATTCCATTTTCTTAGCAGCGAGTGATTTATTTCCTCTCATTTTTTGTTTATACTTTAGTAAATTCCCGTGACCAATTTTTATATAGTGTATAAAAAATGGTTACTGCAGTTTTTGTTTTTAGATTATTATTATTCCATTTTTTTTTTATTGAAAACCCAGATAATTTTGGTCTCTTACCAGTCAGTTTTTGTCTCAAGTTTGTTATTTGTATGTGAAAGTGTGTGTGTGTGTGTGTATGTGTGTGCAGTTGTTCTTTGCTCATTTGTTAACAAAACTATCAATATCAATGTTTGTTGCTTGCTTTATAAATATATATATATATATGTATATTTATATATTTATGTACATACATAATCGTCACTTTGGCAAAAAATTTTTTTTAGGTTTCTATATATTTTAACTTTTTCCTTTTACTATTTCTGCTTTCAGCTGCCTGTATAAGTACATATGTATATATACATATATATATACATATATGTATATATATATACATATGTTTATCTTTAAATCTTTTTTTTTATTCAAATTTCAGATCTGAATTTTTTTTTTTTTACATTTTCTGTTTACTATTTTTTAGTATTTTTTTTTTATTTTTTTATTTTTCATATGCATGTTTGTATATCTTTTTAGTATTTCTATGCTGGAGCTTAGATCCACTAAGCATGTCGAAATTCCTCGCTGAAGTCCATCTAAAATGTGGAATTTTTAAATGTTAGTTCAATTAAATTAGCTTGACTGAGAGTTAAATATTATGCCATTATTTATTTTATTTTTTTTTAATCAAATCTCAAACAATTTGTTATATAAATTCTAGCATAACACTTAACATGATTTTGAATGTACGCTTGTGGCAAGTATGCAATAAGGTCGCTTACTTTTAGCTTACCTTAGTTAGCTTCTAAGATTTTCGCTTTTGTTGTTGCCACATGAACAGTTTTTCGACCAGTTCAACTTTGGAATAGTTATTAGTTTCACTAGAGGTCGAAGTGTTCTCGCTGCTGCTGCCATTGTTGTTGCTATTGTTGTTGTTGCTGTTGCTATTGTTATTGTTGTTGCTGCTGTTGTTAGTATTATTGCTGCTATTGCGATAACAATAGGTACCGCTGCGCCAGCTGGCAAAGGTGTAGGGCATTGTATTACGATTTGTATTATGATCATTGGTTAATTGTGACCTAAAACTGTTGTTAGGGCTATTTGTTATTGTAGTTGTAGTTGTTGCTGCTGCTGCAGCTGTTGCTGTTGATCTAGCTGCTGTTGTAGTTGTTCTACATGTTGTCGCGTTATGTGGTTTTTGCATTTGTGGTTGTTGTTGTTGTTGCTGGTGATGTAAGTTGCGATTAAGGAACTCCGATTGTTAATAAGGTCGACTGGCATCCTTTGGCCGCTTCAATTGAACTTTCAGTCTTTTCATGCCAATCTGGAAGCCATTCATAGCCTGAATGGCCGCTTGAGCGCTGGTGGGGTTATCAAATGAAACAAAACCTATAAAATACCATAATTCGATTCGTTAGCCAACTGATCCAAGTAAAAATGTTTGGTAAAAGTGCAGATTTAGATTTACCAAAACATTTGCTCTGATTTGTAGCACGATCGATGAAGACCTTAGAGCTGATCACATTGCCAAATGGCAGGAACATTTGCATTAATTCTGCATCACCAAATTCTTGCGGCAAATGATAGATGAACAGATTGCAGCCCTCCGGGCCAGATATAGAGCATCCTGGGAACATCAGAAAATCTTAAAAGAGAACATTACAAGAAAAGAAACAAAGTAGAGAAAAGAAATTAAACGATGAGCAAAATCATAAGTTAGAACTTTATGAGTTTGTCTGCTGTATTTGGCTGGTTTCGAGTATGAGTATTTCTTTAAATATGTTTTTTTTCTTTCTTGTTTTTTTCATTTTTTTTTTTTTTGTTGTGTCTCGTGTTTCGTGGCCGATCTTGTAGACGATTCAACTAAAGCTAATGCGTTTGAAATTACTGCAAACTAAATTACAATCAAAATATAAATATATTTATAGAAAAATAAGGAACCGAACAGTAACAAAATGCGCTTGCATAGACTAAAAGTTAATATAGACATAATCGTATTTTAAAATGTTTAATGAGAGCTAATAGTTCTATAACTCTAGCAGTATAATATATACTTAGACTTATGATATTTGATTCTAATTGTTCCTTTCGAAGCATTTTTTTCCAACAGCCCCATTTGCGAATTATATGCGAATACTATAATCGTATGATATGAGTTCAGCATTGCCGAGTTTCATGTGTATTTGTCATGCAGAATAAGTACTAAGTAAGTACATTATAATAAAAAAAAAACACAATTTACAATTAACTACGGTCAACAGATATTGAAAATGAAAAACACGTTACACATTCAAGTCAGTATTAGGGTTAGATACATTTAGACAGTATACACATTTAAGAATGTGGTACACACACACGCACACATAGTCACACACTCAGTGAGAGAGAGAGAGAGAGCGAGAGAGAGAGAGAGAGAGACAGAGAGAGAGAGAGAGAGAAAGAGATAGCGAAGGAGAAAGACATATACACAAAGGTACATTTATGTAGCTGACTATAAAATATTGAGATATGTATATAAATACGCCTTATTAATGGTATGCTTGTATTTTGTGTCCCGTCAACGATTCAGAAAGACAAAAGAGAGCTGAATATAAAAAAAAAAACAAAAAGAAAACAAAAACAGAACAAGCGACACAAAGTAACATAGAATTTTATGATTTTTCAAGCAAATATCTGAAAAATACGTCGACGGTTTTTATGTGATTTTAAGCAGTTTATATGCAATTTTTACGATCTCACATAAAATGCCTTTAAATGCAGCCATTAAAAACGATTTACGCTTGCTTTGCTTTTTGCAACCCTTTCGAAAGTGGGTCGCGATTTCGCCCCTATTCACAGTGCGCCAAAAGATAAGAATGAGAGTTACAAATAAAAAGAACACAGGTAATTAATTTTTATGGTCTTTTAGCTTAATACTTGCGCTAAAAGAAAAATTAATTATTTCATTAAAATTGCTTGATCGACCCACCGAAATATTATGTGTGTGTGTGTGTATATGTGTGTGTGTATACGACTGAGTGTTAAATATAGATAAATGTTTACGTTGCCATAAAATAAAACATTTATGTATTTATGACATTTAAACAATGACTAATACAGGAAATCCCCAGGTTGGTGTGAGCTATTCCATCCACATCCACAAAACCAAAGACGATATTAAGTTACGAAATAACTAACAAAGAGTCGACAAACAAACTAAAGAGTACAACCGACAAAATTATAATGAAAAGCTTACCTTCACGCTGAGTGGGTGCAACCGCCGCTAGGGGAGGTGGTAAAGCTTGTGGAAACTGTCCATAGACGGCGGGAAAGGCTGCGTTATATATAAATAATTTTTGTTTTTGGTTTTTACACAAAATCCGAAACATTTATAAAGACAACACAACAATTAAGTATACGTATATATATATAATATTTTATGTTAAATTAAGTAAGTTCTCTTTGGTTTTTAGTTCAACTATTTATAAACAAAAATAAAATCATAATAGGTTTAGATAGATTTAAATATCTTTTAGTCAGATAAACATTTTAGAAAATTTAGTTATACCAGCCAGAGTGAGCAACTGGATTTTTAGAGCAAAGCACATAAAGTTTTATGTTCACTTTACGTTAATACGAATTTAATAGGAATTATGAAAGAAACTAGGAAAACATAACGACGAGTTTATTGTGCTTTCGCAAACAAATGTTAAAGGCTTAACATTGAACAACAAGTTTTCAAATATAAGACGAACGTATTCAACACATAATTAGAACAAACTAAGAACAAATATGTCAACCAAAAAGCCATCTAAAGTAATAAAGAACCGTTCCAAGTATGACAGAAATATTGCTATCTTTTGGATTTATAACAATTTGAAGAAATTTCTGCCACACTTTCAAGCGAATTCCTTTTTTTTTTTTTTTCGTTTTAATAAATCAAATTATGTATATATATATATATATAGAAGTTAGAGTTATACATAACACTTTACTAACAATATATATTTATGGCATGACACAACAAATATTAATTATTTCAATAAAAACAATTATGAATGATTGAGCTGTTTATTCTGTCTGTTGTTGATGTTTGATTTCTCATTTTGCTTAAATGTGAATTGCCTGCGATTTAGCAACCTTATCATTATGATCATGATATTACTATATCTCGGGGCTAATTATGAGAGTCTCTGTCATGGGAATTTATGAGAGAACATGATGCATGATTTGAGATTGAGAAGTGAGCATATTATCTGTGCTAATGGATGACATAATAATTTTTTGTTTTTTAATTATAGATTCTCATATATTGTGCCTAGGGAGCTTGCACACTAACTATTTACTATTTCATTGTATATTGGGCACAATTATATACGTAGTTCATTTAGGCAATAGATAAGATATATATATATATATAGACTAAGGGTAGCCCGAGCTTAGGAACTTACCAACTCCTGGAAATGGTGGCAAACCAGGGAAGGCATGTTGCAGTGCAGCAGCATCGCCATTTGGCAAACCTTGTGGTGGTATGGTCAGATGCAGCGGATCTAAATCGTACAATGAAACATATAAAAATGATTTTGTTAATTGAATACAAAACAATTGGGTTTTCAACTTAAATCTCAGATTTTCGAGTCTCAATGTGGTTCTTATAGTGATTAATTTTTGAACATTCTAGTCAAAATTATATGTCATAAAATACTATCAACGACAGATATAAATATTGTCTAGTTAGCTGCTTACGTGGGAATGCCGTTTGTGGAATGCCGTTCGTGAAGACACCATCCGCCACTGAAGCAGCAGCAGCGGCAGCTGCAGCGCCACCCGGCTGGCCATTGGGCGTATTGGCGCCCATATTGAAGTTGGGCATCGTTGGCGATGGCAGCGACGGTGGCTGACCGGTGCCATTGAGGCCATGAGGTATTTGCGTTGCCAAAGCAGCCATTGGATTCATATAGGCAGCTGCAGAGCCTGGTGCCGTTGCTGCGGCAGCCATCAGAGCCGCTTGCTGTTGTTGCTGTAAGCGACGGAAAAAATGTAATGAGATGATTACTATGCGGAACAGGGTGAAAAGAGAGTTGGCTATTTACCTGCGCGTAGGCGCCGTATGGTCCAAATTGATTAAAGACAAACGGATTCAATAGGTTCATATGACCGGCCATTTGTTGCATGCGCCTTATTTGTCGCTCCTTCTCCGTGTCGGCGTATTTGACAACCAGGCTGGAAGATGCACCCTGCAAAAATAATTGGAATAAACGAAAGAGTGAGTCAGTGAGTGCGTAAGTGGAGTGAGTGAGTCGTATTGCATATTTATAGGCGGCTTTTCCGCTTCCCGCCGTGGAGGTTGGCGGGCAGGCGGGCAGGCGGGCTGGCTCCATTGAGCGGGAAATCCTATTACAGGCCATTATTTTGTGCCTTGTCATTTGACGTTGACGTGGGCGATGTTGGGCGTTAACGTTGTCAACGTTGCCGTCGTATTTTTACCTGTGCACCATCCCCCGCCCTGCTTGCCACTCGTCACTGTGCACTTGGGCGCTTTGCTTTTGTTATGCGTAGCGGACTGCTCATTATTATCATATTATATTTTATATGCTTTTGTGATAAACAACAACAGGCAAATGGCAAAAATACTCGTAAATAACAAAATAATTGGCAACACACTTCAATTTGCATTTCCATTGAAATCGGCTTAGAAGCCGAGTGCGCTCTTCTCTCTCTCTCTCCCGCCCCACAATAATAATATAATAGAAGTGCTCCCATCTGCCTAGCTTTGTATCTATACATCCCTATCATGATGTTATCTATTGTTTGTTGTCATTGATTTTGAAACATTGGGCACTGGCAACAACAAAGACAGCGCCAAGGCACCCCGCCATCCGCCACCCGCCACCTTATCTCCTCCTCGCTGTTTCGTTGCCCTGTCGCCTTTGTTGCCTACTTTGATGTCAATTAATTAGCATAATAATGGACGCTTCACATTTCGCACTTCCTAACTACCCCTTCGCCACTGTCCGCTGTGCAAAACTTGTGTTGTGTGACAATCGAAGCGACGACAACATTTCATGTGCCTCGGCATTTTGTTTTGTTATAATTAAGACGTTTTCGCTCTGAGATGAGTGGCTGCCTGTTTTTGTAATAGGAGACCATTTGCTGTGGGGGACAGCAGCGGCTTTTATGATTTGGCAAATCATTAATCAATGTAACAATGATATTATATTGCATAATTTTAGGCCCACCCTCTCACTGCTTCTATGTGTATGTAAGTGTGTCGCTAATGAGACTACCTCTAAACAGGTGCTCTATGTACATACTTATCCGTCTTGCACACAATTTTAATTAACGAAATGTGAAACTTCAGTTTGTCCTTAGGCCATGATACGAAGCGGCAGCCAGACATCCAGCATCTAAGGAACAGCCAATTGCCAACTGCAAAACAAAAATGGAGAGCATGGCGACAGGGGCGAGGACAGGAGCGAGGACACAGGTAGAGGTCGACTTACGGTCATGTAAAACTATATTCCCCATCTCGAAGCAACTCGAATAGTCTTGTAATGCGTTTTAATGAGCAACCACTGAACACTAGACTTCAGGCATAATATACGATTATGTAGCATGAGAATCTGTTTAGCAAATGTGGACTGTGTAATCCTTAAGCTTGCTTAACATTTGGGTATTTAAGATAGAGGCTAAAATATTCAAGTAGATAAACTGAATCGCAATCGGCGTGAAGTCAGTTAAATTAAATTATATTAAAATTAACTGATTCACATAGAAGTAATGGTAAGCATGGGAGATACTCACACCCCTGAAAAGATAACGAAAAAAAGCCCCAATTTAATGTTGTCTCCAGCTTAACAGTTCTGCTGGGAGCCAGAAAAATTCAACTTTGAATGCTTTAAGCAATTTTCTGATGCTTTTCGTGAATTTTTTTGGTTTTTTTTTAAAGGAAGCAGAGCAACAGGAGAGGCAGCAGTAGCAGCAGCAGCAGCAGCAGCAACACACATTAATTGAAGTGCACTTCCTTTCAATTTTCGCCAACAAATTATAGCATATCAACAACAGCAACAGCAGCATGCCAGGCACACATACACACACACACACACACTGACACACACACACAGAGACACACACATACTCAGACACACTCAGTGGTGTGGCGCGGCTACAATGAACGCTTGGCGCGTCCTGTGCGCTCTTATCCTTGCTGCCTGTTAATTTCATATTTCGAAACATGACACTTTCACACTTTTGCTAATTTAAAAGCATACAAAATGGTGGCCAACACACACGCACGAGTTGCCTTACTGTTGTCGTTGTCGTTGTCGTTGTTGTTGCTGGTGCCTCATTTCGTGACGAATGTGCTTTATAGCAGTTGACTACTGTTGCATGTGGCACACAAAAGGCGAATCCTTTTCGCGCATATACATATACATACACATATACACATACACACATTCATAGGCACATATGCAACGCGTATGTCTCGACATAGTCTCGTTAAATTGTCGCCTGACACCTCGCTAATGTCATCACCATTTGCTGTGTTGCACACTATGTCGAGAGTCAGCCACATTATTACTGTAATTATGTTGGCCGTGTAAACGTCATTAGGCGTTTTAGTGGCAGGCTACAGAACGTGCCCCATTTCATCTGAGTGTGTGAGTTGAACGGCAATGTCGCTGACGCTCTCGTCGTGGCCCTTGTAAATCTTTCGACATGTGCACGAAAATTGCAGTGGACAAATTACAGTCACTGCACGGGGAACAAGTAATGCAACAAGCCGGACGTGGAGTACTCAAATCTACGTAATAACTGTGTACATCGAATCAGTATATGAGGCAGTTGTTATAGGTAGAATGCCGAAGTGCCGAGTATTTTGCATAGCTTTACACTTTCAACTCACATCCACAGAATGTGTGATTTCCATACAAATGTGAAAGTAGTCCTTAACTATGGGGATTATTATACGCTGTTGTATTCGATTCAGCTTCAAAAACATACCCTTTACACATCTCGAATTCTAAATAGTTATGAACATAAGTCGATATAGACTATAACAAATGAAAATATAACAGAGTTAATAAAATCACTCTTTAATAACGAGTAGAGTAATCAATCTACATATTCTGTCGAGCTCATCATCACATTATTTGCAATTGTACTCTTGACATTTCGTATCCAATCAGAAGCAATCAATTTACTCAACTCGCTCTTGTGTTTTTGCTCGATTTCCAATTATTCTCCACTAATTAGCGTTGTCCTCCAATCTGACGGCTAAACAGCAGTGCAACAGGCTCGCATTAAACCACAAAAGCTCATAAATTAATTCATTAACGTCAATTTGATATCCTTAATAATCCAGCACCGCATGTCCTGTGGTGGGCACTTGCCAATTTGTTGGTGAGCCACAGTTTGGGGCAAAACTAAAAAACCCAGAATGTGGATCCTTGAGAAATTATGCCTGCCTTCGGTTTGTGTAAGTCGGCAGAGGAGAGAAAGTGGGACAGAGTCAATATATAAACATTTATTATATGCAATGTGTATGTGTGTGTGCAGTTGTTTGGCTGGCACTTCCGTTTCCTGAAGACGACGACACGAAATTCCCATTCAAGTGAATTGCTGCGCCAAATGAAATGAAAAATTCAACACGACTCTCGAGCAGGCAGCACGCCTTATTCGAACAGAGCCAGAGCCAGAGCCAGACCGAGACCGAGACCCAGACCCAGGACGAATGCAACAGGCAACAGGCTGCCAACTGCCAACTGGTAACTGGCAACTAACAAGCCAAACTACTAACAGGAGGCCGTCGTCAGTGGTGGTCCTGGAATTGTGCCAGGCGGCACTTTTGGCAGCAATCGCATGTTGCATGCCACTTGCCTTGCGGCACGGTCCTGCAAACGTGACGCCATTAGCTTGGGCCTCTCTAGCAAACACAGCCAAAGCGTCGTGCGGGACTGAGGCTTTACCATTTTGGCACTTGGCAATATCTATATATATATATATTGTTTTTTTTGTTCACTTTATTGTTTTTTAATGCGCGTCGCTCAAAGTTTTACGCCCGTTTTTGGCCATTTTTTGGCAAAGTTTCAAACCGCAACGGGCCAATACTCGTGGCAAAGTGGTACCCAACGACGATGACGATGACGGCGATGTTGTTGGCCAATTACAATTGAAGGCTTACAGTGCATTTAAAAAGTAATTTGTCTGCCAGCCGCTCTCCCAAAAGCCGTGCACGTATTTATATTTAAATGCAAATGCAACCAAAACCCATAACACTGATGCGAGAGGGGGCTTTGGATGTGGAGTGCACATGATAAACCTGTTGGCTGTTGGGGCTCTATGGGGCTCCAGGCATGGCTGTAATCACAGTTACCCCGCCGGCAGTCGTGTTCCTGCCGTGTTCACTAATGGTGGCTACAAGCCGCAAGCACTGAACTCCAACCCAAACCCCTTCCCCATTCAGACCGCCGGCGAAACGCTTACAGGGGCACTGAAATGCACACACATCGCACACACATAATAAACTGACGCTGTTGTGCGAGTGTGCAACGTGTTCCTGTGGCCCTGGCCTGACTGGAGTCGGAGTCCTTTACGTGTCTGGGGACATGTTAACATGGCAGTCGTGCCAAAAAATTATTATTCCCGCCTCGATGCCGCTTTTTCTGTGTGTGTGTGTGTGTGCGAGGACTGCGAGCGTCGATTTGTCAACGCCTAAAAGGACAGCATATTTCTCTCTCAATTTGCAGCACAGTTACAAAAAATGCAAACAAATAGGTGTAAGGCAAAAAAGTATAATAAATAATACAAAAAACTAGCAAGCAAATGGGCAGCAAATGGTTTTAACAAATGAATTATATATATATGTATGTACACTAATATAGATACGTATGTCCGTATGTATGTATGCACATGCTTTGCATATCATAGTTTATTTTTATTTTATTTTGTTTCTTTTTTGTTTACCATAAAATGATATATATTTTTTCCAAGCAGTCGGCGGTTGCAGCTTATTTTAATTGCTAAATGAATTGGCCAGGCGCGCATTTGTTTAATGGTCAACCATTTTTATATATCAATTAAAGCTGCTACAATAAAATACACTTTTTGCATTTATTTATTTAACATAAAAATGTGCTCGCATTAATTTAGAGCCAAATGGATTTGAGAGTGGTGAAATTCATGGGCTCAAAATATCACCGATCAGCTTAACGTGAAATGGTATTTAAAAATATTA